ACAACTGCTTTGGGAATCAGTCTGGTGCTTTCTCAGACAATTAGGAATAGTGCTTACTCAAGATCCAGCTACACCATGCCTGGGCCTATATTCGAAAGATGCTCAAACATACAACAAGGACATTTGCTCAACTATGTTCATAGCAGCTTTATAAATAATAGACAGAATCTGGAAACAACCTAGATCTCCCTCAACTGAAGAATGGATACAGAAATTGTGGTAGATTTACACAATAGAATAAATACTACTCAGCAATTAAAAACAAGGAAATCATGAAATTTGCAGGCAAATGGTGGGAATTACAAAAGATCATCTTGAGTGAGGTATCCCAGAAGCAGAAAGACACACACAGTATATACTCATTTATAAGTAGATATTAGACATATAATATAGGATAAACATACTAAAATCTGTACACCTAAAGAAGGTAAGCAAGAAGGAGGACCCTGGGTGAGATGCTCTGCTCAGTCCTCATTCAGAAAGGCAAACAAGATGGACATTGGAAAATAGAGAAAACAGGAAACAGGACAGGAGCCTCCCACAGAGGGCCTCTGAAAGACTCTACCCAGAAAGGTATTAAAGCAGATGCTGAGACTCATAGCCAAACTTTGGGCAGAGTTCAGGGAATCTTAATAAAGAAGTGGGAGATAGAAAGACCTGGAGGGGACTGGAGCTCCACAAAGAGAGCAAGAGAACCAAAAAATCTGGGCCCAGGGGTCTTTCTGAGACTGATACTCCAACCAAGGACCATTCATGGAGATAACCTAGAACCCCTCCACAGATGTAGCCCATGGCAAGCTCAGTCTCCAAGTGGGTGTCCTAGTAAGGGGAACAGGGGCTGTCTCTGACATGAACTCAGTGGCTGGCTCTTTGATCACCTCCCCCTGAAGGAGGGGCAGCCTTTCTAGGCCACAGTGGAAGACAATGCAGCCGCCAGTCCTGATGAGACCTGATAGGTTAGGTTCAGATGGAAGGGGAGGAGGACCTCCCCTATCAGCGGACTGGGGAAGGGGCATGGAAGGAGAAGAGGTAGGGAGGGTGGGATTGGGAGGGAATGAGGCATGGGCCTACAGCTGGGATACAAAGTAAATAAACTGTAATAAAAAACCAAAAACTTTTGGTTCTGTTGCTCTCCTTTTGGACCTCCTGTAAAGTCTTTCCTGAGACTCATACTGTAACCAAATACCAGGCATGGAGATAACCTAGAACCCCTGCACAGATGTAGCCCATGGCAGTTCAGTGTCCAAGTGGGTTCCACACTAATGGGAACAGGGACTGTCTCTGACATGAACTGATTGGCCTGCTCTTTGATCCCCCCCCCCCCCGGAGGGGGGAGCATCCTTACCAGGCCACAGAGGAAGACAATGCAGCCACTCCTGATGAGACCTAACAGACTGGGATCAGAAGGAAGAAAAAGAAATCCTCTCCTACCAGTGGACTTGGGGAGGGGCATTCGTGGAGAAGAGGAAGGAAGTGAAGGATTGGGAGGGGAGGAGGGAGAAAACTAGAAGGGGGATACGAAGTAAATAAAGTGTAAATGTGTTATGAAATAAAGGGTTGAATGTGAAAACATTAAAAAAAAAAAGAAGGGGGAGATAAAAAGACCTAGATGGGACAGGAGCTCCACAAGGAGACCAACAGAGCCAAAAGACCTGGGGTCCGGGGAAGGGGGCTGCAGAGACCAGTACTCCAACCAAGTACCATGCATATAGAGGACTTAGACCCTCTGCTCAGATGAAGCCCATAGGCTGTTCAGTTTCCAAGCAGGTTCCCTAGTAAGGGATCAGGGGCTGTCTCTGACATGAACTCAGTGGCTGGCTCTTTGATCCCCTCTCCCTGGGGGATTGCAGCCTTGCTAGGCCACAGAGGAAGACAATGCAGCCAGTCCTGATAAGACCTAATAGGCTAGGGTCAGATAGAAGGGGAGAAGGACCTCCACTATCAGTGGAGTAGAGTAGGGTATAAAGGGAGAAGAGGGAAGGTAGGTGGGATTAGGAGGAGATGGGGGGGTTACAGCATAGGGGGATACGTGAATAAATTTTAATGATAAAGAAATATATAAATAATTACATAAATAAATTAAGTAAAACATAAAAAAATTCGGGTTACAAGGTTTATGTGGCAAGTGCCTTTACTCATTGAGCTATCTGACAGGCCTAGGAGTAGGATATAAAACGTGAGCAGTTGCTGTTAGATCACCCATCTCAGCTGCCTTTATTTTTCTCTGTAGCGAGGCCATGCAAATCTTTCCAGGGAGTTGACGAGCAAATATGATGTAAGCCTTAAGTTCTCACACTGTTGAGTTTTCTCAGTTCTACTCATGGCTACAAGGCGTGGCCAGCTTTCCCTACTGCTCAGACCCAAGACAGCCTTGAGCTGTAGCTAGACTTTATCACTGATTTCCTGACTTCTAGCAGGAAGTCAAGGTCACATAGCATGGAACTTAAAGCTCTCTGTGACGTACACCACCAACAACTTAAATAGCTCCGTGCCAACAGAGGACCTACACACCCAAGTGGCATGGCCAGTTTCTCTTTCCTTAAGCTCAGGACAAGGAAGTCACACAGTAACCAGTGACTATCTCTCAGAGAAGCCCATACCCACACTCTAGGGTATGTCTTACTTTCTTGTGGAGTGCCTCTTCCTTGTAACTTTCATGCTTAAAATTTATTTTAAACTGTTATAAACCCTAACTCTGACTTATAAAGAAGGAACATCACTTCCATTTTTTCTTAAGTCCCCAAATTCCACAAGTAAACAGTGCTATTCTCATTTTGCACTTGAGGGAACCTTCAGGCCACTTCATGAACTTCACTATGGTTACCATGATACGCCCCAAAGATGTCCTAATCCTCCGAAGCTATGACTTTGGTACATTTGGTGCAAAAGGGATTTTGCAGCTATGATAAAGTTGAAGACCTGGACCCGAGGATGATCTGAGTAGACCCAAAATAATCTCATAAGTCACTGTAAGAGGAGTCAGGAAGTCAGAGGTAGTAGCATAAAACATGACAGTGGAAACAGAAGATGGATTAATACAGTGAGGGATCTGTGAGCCAAGGAGCACAGGCAGCTTTTGACAGGTAAAAAACAGTCAAGGCACTGGAGTGCTTCTCAACGAAGCACAACTTTACTAACACTGGTTTTTAGCTCTGCTATCCTTTTTGGACTTTGGATCTCCTGGAATGTAAGGTAACAAATTCTTTATCAAAACAAGATCTTAGGAACCACCCACAAAAACTTTGATCCAAAAATTATCCTGCCTACAAGAGCAGGGATAAAGCGGCAACAGAAATTGAGGGTATGCCCAACCAATGATTGGCCCAACCCGAGACCCACCCCACAGAAGAGAGCCTTCCCCTGACAATGTTAATGTTGCTCTGCTATGCTTGCACACAAGAGCCTAACTTGACTGTCATCTGGGAAGCTCAGCCAGAATTGGATTGAGATGGATGTTGGGACTTGCAGCCAAGCATGGTACAGAGCTCTGGGGGTCCTGTGGAAGTGTTGGAAGAAAGATGGAAGGACCTGGAGGGGACAGGAACCACACAAGAAGACCAACAGAGACAACTAACACAGACCCAGGGGAGCTTACAGATGGTAAGACATCAACTAAGGAGCACGTATGGTCTGGCCCTAGGTTCCCTACATTACCCATGGGTGGCTTGGTCTTTATGTAGGGCACCTGGTGAGTGGAGGGGGTAGATGTTTCTAACATGGACTCTATTGCCTGCTTTTGGATCATTACTCCCTGGCAGGGCTACCTTGACTGGCTCAGGGGATGAAGAAATGCTGTCTTGATGTGATGGGGAGCATTGATATGGGAGGGAGGAGGGTTCCACTTTTTTAGTGGTAAAGGGAGAGAAGAAGAAAAGGGGAGACCGGGAGTAGAGGAGGGAGGGGGCATCCTTGGGATGTAAATTAAATGAATTGAATATTTAAAAATTATGTATAAAAATGAAATAAAACAAGATCTTACAGTGTAGCCCAAGCTTGCTTAGAACTCAGCATGTACCTTCAGCTACTCAATGAAACGACAGCCCTCCTACCTCTGCCTCCTGAGTGTTGTAATAACAGGTATGAGCCATCATGCCCAGCATATCAGCTCCAAATAACCTCTACATACATGGCCTGCTTGTTATTTCAGTTGCTATAGTCATTTGGATTTTAGACCATGCTTTTTAAATGAGTTACAAACACCTCTGCAAGCTCGAAAAGGCGTTGGTCCTTTACAATGGATAAGTTAACCTCAGTTTTTCTGTTATACTTGGTGGTTATACTTGGCAAGAAAGAAATTGGGGATTTTAACTAGGTGAGGACAGCACTTCAGTTTATAGATCATCCTTGGACAGCTGAGGAGCACAGAGGGTGATACATCCATACACTGAAAGATAAAACTTCACAACAAGGCTGGCAGGTGCTACTCAAAGCAGGGAGACAACTCTACGTCTCAGTCTCTATCCTCATTTCTATGAAGAGCTTTGATGTGTTAATCTAGCATTCCCAGCACAAAGGCTCCTTCCGCTTTGGTAAATCTGGAAGGTTTTGAAACCTCATTGACTGCACTGCTGCTCTCACTGTATTGCCTTTTGAACCAGGTGGAAAAGGGATGGGAAAAGGGAACATAAGGGTAAAATCTCGATAAGTCCATCCTGCTGGCCAGCTTTTCTCTTCTGATTGAACTAACCCATAGATTTGCTGAGACTTTCAATAATTCAGCTGTTCTGGGGTCACCTATGCTCCTGTCACGAAGTCCAGCAACACCTCTGGCTCACCACGCTGGTCTTGGGTGGAGTCACTTTGCTCTGTTGTTAGTGCCCTATCTGGGTTAAGTAGACATTTAGTCTCATTTCCCCAGAAAAAAATCCCATGCAATAACTGGGATATACACAGCGCCCAGGACTCCCCCAAATCAAGAAAGGCTAATTTAGGGTAGATACTGTATCAAGAATTTATTAGACACACTACAAAGAAGAGAACGTGCATATTGCTTTGTTTCTTGTTCTCACTAAGTGATAGCAGCTAGTGAGTAGGACCTGAAGGACAACAGATTTGTGTCCCCCTACCTGAATGTGTACTACTACCTCTGATCCTTGTATAGCATGGATTTACAGTTGAAACAACAGCCAAAGAACCCCAAACAACACTTCGAGCATACTGTGGAACTGTTGGTAGAGGGTAGAGGGGGCCAGAGGATTTAACACAGTGAGACATGACAACAGATTTTTTTTTTTTACAACACTATAATTATAAAGTTGAAGGCACATCTTTGGCAGAAATATCAATTACATGCACATGAGAAAAAACAAACTAGACCACAGCAAACAAATATTGCACAAAGTTGTCCGCTCCTGTTTTGGATCTAACCAAAGTTTTACAATACAAGGTTAAACATTTCTTTAAAAACACAAGGTTGAGACGCCTGGTTCTGGCTACAAAAGGCATTTATCATCAACATCAATAAAAGAAGCTCATGTGATTGCGACTAAGAATTCATGCTTTGTGTTTTATCTGGTTACTCATACCAAACTAAAGGACTTAAGAAAGTCAGTGAAAAGTTGGCAATTTGGTATAAATCTGCATTTTTATATTTGGTAAAGAAATATTTTTTTTTAATTCAGAAAACAAAATAACCCAAATGAGTGATATCAGGAATGTATTTAATAATAATGAAAAAAGAACCTGTAACCAGATGCCTCATCCAAAGAAAATAATAATGTAGAGTAAAATAAATATTAAGAAAAATAACTTTAAAACAGAATCTAAAACTAATGGAAAAATCCTCTACTACACCTTTTTGATTTTAAGCTGTGTACAGAAAAGATAGACATACTCACATTTTTGGAAACATCTTGTCTATAGTGCTATTTCAAGCATTGTCTATATTTGAATGAAGAATAATTTTTTAAAAAAAATTAAAGCATAATATAAAATTATTTGATCATAAGGCATCAAATTTAACTTCCTAAAATGTTGATACTAAAGTAGGAAAAGCAACAATTCTATTTCACACCTGACAACTATACTTTTAAAACTACAATAGCAAATAGTCTGTTTACGTTTTAATCTTTAAAGTCAAAAGGCATCTTTGGATATTTACGTTAAAATTGCCTCCTAGCTGAATCTGAATTAGCACTGGACAACCAAATGTCCATGGTGCCTTTTGACAGAGAGAATGGTTGCTGAGTGAGTACAGGGGAGTGGTAAAGAAAGTATAAAGAACCTCAAAACAGATACAAATAGAAATCCGTTTTCATTCTGTATGTGTTCTTTCTCTCTCTCTCTCTCTCTCTCTCTCTCTCTCTCTCTCTCTCTCAGCAGTAACTCATTACTTAAAGCTAGTGGCCAACTGAAAGCAATGTGCTTGATCCCTTCTCTAAATGGGAGCCCTCTCCTCGGAATAACGCTTCTCTCAAACATGTTCTTTTCGAGTAGTGACATGATGTGGAGGCAACGGGAGGACTCAATTAACACATGCAGAACAGAAGGAGTGAGGCTGAGGGCCGGAGGACTTCTATTCTCAATGTGGATCCAGAACAAGAAAAAACCTGTTATACCTCTCTAGGATTAGGTGTTTCGTCTGGAAGTCAAGTTATGTTCAAATGGGCTGCTAGAACGAAGAAACAAATACTCAAACTCAAACTCTTAAGGAGGCATAGACAGTGATTTAAACTAGAGCTTAAATGTATACACTAATACTCTATTAAAACAGGTTTGCCTTTCCAAATTAATAGCACCTTCATCAAAAGTTTCACCTCTCTAAGATAGCCAAGATAGAACTCAGGTCTTTTCCAAATTTGGAAAGACAGTGTTGACGAACATAAACAATTTTGGGTGTGGGATATAAAGGAATAAGAGAGAAAGGGCATAGAATGGAAAAACCCCATTCTCTATTTCATGTTATACTTGCTAATATAAAAATGACTTTTGTATTTGATACTGACTTGAAAAGGAGAAAAGAACATTTTCAGAGGATAAATCATCTATTTTAGGGATTGTGCTATTGGCTTTAAGTGTGGCATGCAAATAAAAGATTTGGAGTTTGTTTATAAGCACAAATGTTTTAAACAAAGGAAAATATATTTAACTATAAGGTATCACCTAGTCACTCTGATAAGTTATCTAAAACAGAAGAGGTAACTAAAATTTTATTAAATTATAATATACCAGCCAAGTGATTGTATTCCAAAGGATGAATTTAGTTAGTCCAGGTACTTTTATATGCCTAAATATGTTAACATATTAGTTTTAATCATAAAAGACTTTTTCAGGGACAGAGGCTCAACTGTTAAGTTTCTAGACTGGGACTGATGGACAGACTCCACTACGAACAAAGCTGGACTCCGTAAGAGAACTGAAAGCTGGCACAGGCCTGGGGAAACTGAATTGAGAATTTCGACAACACTGGAGAAATGGAAGAGTAGACAACCCTGTAGACCCTTCCTGTCTTCTGAACCACACAACATAAGAAGAGCAAGATTTCAAAGGAGCCGTCAGTTACAAAAAGGTTTCAAGACAGAGTCTCAAGTGTGTACAGGCCAGGCTGGCTTTGATCTTATAATTCTCCTGACTCATTCCAAGTGATTGCTTTCAGTTATTTTTAGTCAAGGAAAAAAAAAAAAAACCACCAAAACTTGGCTGACTTGAAAGAAGGTGATAAAAGCCATCCTAGAGGCTCTTAGGAACTACAGGACAAGGACGCAGGGGTTAATGAGGTGAAAGCAAGCCTACAATAAATAAGGCACGTCTATTTTAAAACAGTTGCAACTGTTTTCCTTTTTAACTATATGCTTTGTACAGTGCTTTGAAAGCCGTTGCTCCCCAAAGAGGCAAGGATAGAGGCTCAAGAAAATTTTCAAGGTCGTGCTCTCAATTCTTCACATTTTTAAATCATCCTGTCTTTGGGCACTTTTATTTTTGTTTTTTTTTTTTTTGGTCAAATAAAAAATGGTCTGCTCTATTACCAACAAGTTACCAACCTCTAACTATAGAGCTTGTTTTAAATTCGGTGCTCTACCCTCTGTATCCCTTAAAACAAAAACTGCTGGAATTCATTTTGGATAATGCCAGGTTCAGAGCTCCTGCCCTGAGAAAGATATTAACCAATATAACTAAGATAAAATCCTGAACATAAGGGCATGGAACTGACATAAGATCCTTCCACAACAACGTAAGTGCCATGTCAGTGCACATGAACTTCAACTAGCAGCATCCGCTGAGGCCTTTTACACTGTGGTGTCGTCATCTTCCTGGAAGTCTCCCACCAGAAGTGAGTGCTTGTCAGGTTCACTAGTAACAACACTGTTCAGGGAGCGTTTGTCCGACAGTAGTGAGTTTATGGAGGCTCTGCTGTAATTGACAATCCGGTCTAGCAAACCCAGTCTCGGAGAATTTCTGGAGGCATCATTTATTCCAACGTGAACGCTGATTTCTGAAGGACTCCTCTGTCCTGGGTGGCTCCGAGCACGCAACTCATAATTGTCGTAAGTCGGTTTTCTGTAACTGGATGTTAAGTTTAAAGCAACCAAGTGTTAACTAGATGCTTGTTGTGTGTAGAAACAAAAAGATTGGCTCATTATAAGATGTGCAAAGATGGCTACTGCTGGGAAAGCGGCTTGGAATGAACTTCATGCCGTCACACAATTCAAAGTCCCACTTCTAAAAGCCAGCATATGACACTGGACCCTACTTTGGGCTTATGTCTGTAATGAATACACTACATAAAATGGTAACTACTTAGCCTTTCTTTTTGGTTTGAGACAGGGTCTTGACTACATAGCTTAGTCAAGCTACAAGCTTGGACTGTTTGACTCTCTCGCCCCTTCCTCCGAGTGCTTGCATTACAAGTGGGTACCCTCACACATAGCTTGCTGATATTTATCAGTTACTGCCTAATAGCTCTTAAAATTTGTTTAGGAGGCTGTGAAGATGGCTCAATGAATAATGTGCTTGCTCTACAAGAAGGAGAACCCGAGTTAGGATCCCCAGCACCCACACAAAAGCTGAGTGTGGTGGCCTGCACCTGCGCTCCTATTCCTATTCCTAAGGAGATGAAACAGGAGGAGCCCAGGGGCTTGTGTCTAGTCTAGCTTAACTGGTGAACTCTTGGTTCAGTAAGAGAATTTACCCCAAAATATAATGTAAAGAAAAATAGAAGACACCCAATACTGACCTCTATGCACATGTATATACATATACATACCTATGAGTACACACACACACACACACACACACACACACACACATACACACAGATACAATTATTTTAGCATACCTCATCAGTACAAGAATCAAACCTACTAATAAAAGCTGGATGTTAGAAAGCATATAAAATACCAATAAGAGCAAGGCATCACACTTACAGTTTGAGGAAGAGGGAAGAAAGTACTACAGAAACAGATGACGCAGCCATTGCTGCAGATCCCATCCAGGGTTGTAAAACCAAACCGATGGGCAGAAAAACACCTGGAAACAAGTTTGAATTAGAATAGGCAGGACTAAATGAATTATCAACACATTTTTAACATATGCACAATTTATTTTATCATTTCTTCAGCATTTTATCCTCTTGGTTGTGGAGATTTGTGTCGCTGTCAATATTCCCTTAGTAGAGTGCTTCCATAAATATTCTTGTGTATATTTCCTGTATTCATGTTTTTTTAATTTTAATTTAAAATTTTAAATATTAATTACAGTTTATTCACTTTGTATCCCAGCTGTAGCCGCCTCCGTTATTCCCTTCCAATCCCACCCTCTCTCCTTCATCTCCTCCCATGTCCCTCTCCAAGTCCACTGATAAGGGAGGTCCTCCTTCCCTTCCATTTGACCCTAGTTTATCAGGTCTCATCACGACTGGCTGCATTGTCCTCCTCTGTGGCCTGGTAAGGCTGCTCCCCAATCAGGGGAAGGTGATCAAAGAACCAGCCACTGAGTTCATGTCAGAGACAGTCCCTGTTTCCCTTACTAAGGAACCTACTGAGCTGCCATGGGCTACATCTGTGCAGGGGTTCTAGGTTATCTCCATGCATGGTCCTTGGTTGGAGAAACAGTCTCAGAAAAGACCCCTGGGCCCAGATTTCTTGGTTCTTCTGCTCTCTTTGTGGACCTCTAGTCCCCTCCAGGTCTTTCTATCTCCCTTTTCTTTCATAAGATTCCCTGCACTCTGCCCAAAGTACAATGGAATAGTACTCAGCAATTAAGAACAAAGAAATCATGAAATTTGCAGGCAAATGGTAGGATCTAGAAAAGATCATCCAGAGTGAGGTATCCCAGACGCAGAAAGACACACATGGTATATACTCACTTATAAGTGGATACTAGACATATAATATAGGATAAACATACTAAAATCTGTACACCTAAAGAAGCTAAGCAAGGAGGAAGACCCTGGGTTAAGACAAGCAATCCTCACTCAGAAAGGCAAATGGGATGGACATCAGAAGAGGGAAAAAACAAGAAACAGGACAGGATCCTCCCACAGAGGGCCTCTGAAAGACTCTACCTAGCGGGGTATTAAAGCAGATACTGAGACTCATAGCCAAACTTTGGGCAGAGTGCAGGGAATCCTGTATTCATGTTTAAGAGTTTCCCCAGGGTGCATCCCAGGGGAGAAACTGCTTTGTCCTGATAGCTGTAGATGGATATTCTTCAGTTCTCTAGTGTACCGAAGGTCATGCCCTACTAACTCACACACACTTGCTTTTTCTTTTCTTTCTTTTTCTCTGCATACTTTCTTTTTTTGAGACAGGGTCTCACTATGGAGCCCTATCTGGTCTCAGATTCACAGAGATCTGTATAAGTGCTGGGATTAAATTAGGCACAGAGTACCATATGTGGGCAAATGTTTTTGTTTGAAGTTAAGAATTTAAATCTGCCTGTCTATGTACCCATCTATCAATCTACGTTTTTTGAGACAATGTCCAGCCCTGACACCTGGAACATGTTCAAGGCCAGGCTAGCCTTAAACTTGTTGCTATCCTCCTGCTATTGCCTCCCAAATGCTGGGACTATAGATGTGAGCCACTATGTCCAAACACACTGGATTTCAATAGACATTTTAATACTTGTTCATATGTGTATATAAAATATAGATTTCAACTTTTAATTTTATAGGCTTACCTGGATTTTTCTGCTTTTCTTGAAGTAATCATCAATTACTAATATGATTTTTAAAAAATCGTTTGCTGCATGAGTTAATCTTACTGGACATAGATTTTCTTTTGATTGTCATCTCAGCATTTATGTACCCTTGTGTTAAACAACTCTGTAGTTAGTTTATATTTCAAGCCAGAGAGAATAAGGAGAAAGGGATGACTACTTGTCACTGTTTTCTCCTTTTTATTAGGCTCTGAGAATTTTATCTCTTGATATTATTAATACCTACCAAATTCTACATTTAGGGGAGTCACGGGTGATTATTAAACAATTGTGTTATTGTTTTCTGTTTGTTGGTTTGGTTGGTTTGTTTTTCAAGACAGGGATTTTTCTGTGTAGCCTTGGCTGTCCTGAACTCACTCTGTAGAACAGGTTGACCTCGAACTCACAGAGATCTGCCTGCCTCTGCCTCCTTGAGTTCTGGGATTACAAGCGTGCACCACAGTGCCCGGCTAATTGTGTTATTGTTTATTATTCATATTCCTATAATCACTCTGTCACTTGGTCTCTTAGTCTTAAAAAAATACCTGCCAACTACAATAGAAAAACAGGAAATTACATGAAAAACAGGTAACTTATTAATACGTCACAAGACCAAACTGATGCAAAGTCAAAATAAGTGGAAGAAAATTTAAGACAGTAATAGTGGTTCTATTTAGGAAGTAAAATTATACATAAATTTTTTCTGCTTGGCAAAAAAAATTATATATATATATGTATGTATTACATATATATACACACACATATATGTAGATGGAGAAAGATTTAAAGCAAGGTAACAAAATAGCAATTAGTTTAGGTGATGAGTACATATATTTTCTTTTTTAAGAAAAGAGTTATTTTAATTTTAATTATATGTATGTATGCCTGTGTGTAAGCACAGATTTTCTGTACCATTTTTTTCAAAGTTTACTTAGGTGTGAAATCATTCAAATCATAACATTGGAGGGAAGAATTTAAAAGTATCAAAACATTTATAAATTCTTGGGCTATCATGAACTTTATTGAACATTACTGGTTTTAACATTTCCTTTTACTACAGTAGCAAGGTATACGTAAAAACTAAGGTCAAAACTAAAAATAGTATGCCTAATTCTTTCAATATGATATGTTTCTAATGACTTTAACCACAAAAGGAAAACCTGTAAAGAGTCACATACCAGCAGCAATGGGAATTCCAACCAGATTATAAATTAGAGCAAAGACAAAATTGATTCGAATCCTCTTGACTGTCTTCCTTGACAAGTCGATACTCGCCACAACATCCAAAAGGTCATTCTGTGGAGAGAGATTGGTGATATTAGTGAGATGCTAACTCTGCTGGGCATTTCTCTCCTTGTCACTGTGTACAACAGGAATTCTGTACGTCTTGGGATATACTGTGAATTAAGTACAGATTTCCAAGATTTTGAAGCCTCGAGTCAAGGTTGGAAGAGGTTTTTGAGGAAAAAAAAAATAAGGATTCTGAAAATGCTTTTAGGGTTCTGGGCTAGTATAAGGACTGAATATTTCAATAATGTCAGTGACTACTGTAGCAGATATTTATCTTATTGATAAATCTTACTTTCGCATCAGAAGCTTGGGATTCTCATTTGTATTGCTGGCCTGAGAAGGTCAGTGAATAAGTAGTTAGAGTAGCCTTACCCCCACTCCTGACTTTCTCAGTCCTCACAGCTAGGAACACGGGATTTGGGGCAAGACCACTACACAGTATGTTTATAGCACTACCATGAACCATATCAGGCAGTCTCCCACTCCTCACATCTCAGACCACAGTACCTCCTCTTAGTGTGTAAGTACTGCCTGCTAATGGACTGCACCACTGGAACTCCGGGACTTACCCTTATTAAAACCACGTCAGCTGCTTCAATGGCTACGTCTGTGCCTGTGCCAATGGCAATTCCCACATTTGCCATTGCCAGAGCCGGAGAATCATTGATTCCATCTCCTACCATTGCTACACGTTTTCCTTCCTCTTGAAGCTGTTTCACCTTAGCAACTTTATGGGAAGGTAGAACTTCAGCAAACACCTTAGTAATGCCAACCTATGTGAAGAAAATCAACTCAGTTTCAGAAAGTAATATTGAGCACTGAAAAGAAAGCTGAGCCAAGAGTAAAGAGCCACTATTTTTTTAAGATTTATTTATTTATTATGTCCACAGTGTTCTGTCTGCATGTGTGCCTGCAGGCCAGAGGAGGGCATTAGATCACATTCTAGATGGTTGTGAGCCACCATGTGGTTGCTGGGAATTGAACTTAGGACCTCTGGAAGAGTAGTCAGTGCTCTTAACCTCTGAACCATCTCTTCAACTCTCAAGAGCCATTATTTTGTTGTTGTTGTTTGTTCACTCCTTCCTTCCTTCCTTCCTTCCTTCCTTCCTTCCTTCCTTCCTTCCTTCCTTCCTTCTTTCTTTCTTTCTTTCTTCCTTTCTTTCTTTCTGAGACAGGGTTTCTCTGTGTAGCCTTGGCTATCCTAGAACTCATTCTATAGACCAGGCTGGCCTTGAACTCACAGAGATCTGCCTTCCTGAGTGTTGGGATTATAGGCATGTACTTTTGCGCCTGGCTATGAGCCGTTAGTTTTAATCTGCCAGAGGTTTACATTTTAAGACTGAAAATGTCCAGTGATCATGGGGAGAAGTAAGCATTCTCCTTTTTATTTTTCAATAAATTATTTATTTTAATTTTATGTGCTAAGTGTTTCTGACTGCATGTATATCTGTGCGAGGGTATCAGATCTCCTTGAATTGGAGTTACAGAGGTTGTGAGCCGCCATGTGGGTGCTGGGAAATGAACCTGGGTCCTCTGGAAGAGTAGCCACTACTCTTAACCGCTGAGTCATTTCTCCAGCCCTGAGAGTCTTCTTCCCTAAGTTATTTATTTTTGTCTTATGAATGTTTTATCTGTGTGCATACACACATTGTACCTGTGCCTGGTGCTCACAGAGGCCAGAAGAGTGTGCTGAATGCCCTGCAACTGGGGATAAAGATGGTTGTGAGCCACCATGTGAGCGTTGGAACCCTCTGAAAGAGCAGCTAGTTCTCTAAATGGCTGCGGCATCTTTCCAGCCGCAGCAATTTTCTGCACTGTTTGCATGTGTAGAACGACACTGTCGTCATGGAGACAGCATCCATCAAACTGTGCACATCATCTGCTCTGCAAAAAAATCAACTTTTAGCTATATTCTAAGCAGACTCTTTCATGTCCAAATATGTCAAGGACATTTATTATTGCCTGTTTACAGAAATGAAAAAACTCAAAACTGCCTAAATGTCTGCCACTAGGGAATGATAACATAAATTATGATCCATCCATACTAGAGAATTCCACATAGCAGTCGAGAAGGAATGAAATAATTTTGTATGCTAAGATATGAACAAACACTGGGCGCATTGGCAGATACCTGCAATCCCAGCACTTAAAGAGGCAGAGGCAGACGAACTGAGGCCAGCCTGGTCTATAAAGTAAGTCCAGGACAGTCAAATAGCCAAGCCTATACAGAAAAACCCTGTTTCAAAAAACAACAACAACAAAAAGATATGAACAAAGATCTGGGGAACATAGTTAGATATTTAAAAACTACCGAATAAACTATAAAATGATCCAATTAATGCTGAAACAACAGAACTGCCTATTTGTATACAGGTGTATATGCATACAGAACTTGACAGAGAATGTAGAAAATGTTACAAATTCTTTATAACCTTCATAATCTTACATAATAACGTAATCATATGGGTGGGAGTATGGGACCAGGAGAAGAGGGAGGGGTTGTGATAGGGATGAAAAGTGAATAAATAAATAAATTTAAAAAAGAAAACTAAAAAAAAAAGTGCTCATCTTCAGTCACTGTTAATCCATGGCTTAACAATGAAATTTTAAAATTAGTCTGGAGAGAGTGTTCTATTCAAATAATGCAACATTAGAAATAACAGGTTAACTGCAAAAAAATAAACAAGGTCTTTGTGGGAGCCAGTGGTCAGGCGGGTGGAGCATAGGCCAATCAGCATAGATGGCTCAAAGACAGACAGACACACACACACACACACACACACACACCCGCCCCCAAAGCTGGGCCCGGCGGCCCCCTCCCACGCTGTTTGAGGCTGGCCTCAGAGTTCACAGGCGGCGAGAGGAGCTGAGAGGAGCTGCGAGCTCGAGCTCGAGCCCTAGGAGGTCCCCTGGTGCCACGTGGGAGAATACCCCATCATGATCAACCAGTGAGCTGCAGCACCCGGTCATGATCAACCAGTTCGTGCTGCCGCCAACCAGGCTCAACAGTTGCTGCAGGCAGTGAACTACCAGTTCAACACCGCCCTAAGCACATTCTTCCAAGAAGGCAACATTCCTAACAATCACCACCACCCGCAGATGATGTGTATGCCCAGCAACACTTCTGCAATGCCCCTGGCCTTGTTATCCAAGCTTCATGGGTCTGAGGGCCTGCAGAGCAGCTGCAGCTCCATGACAGCTGTGGCCTGCTCCTCCACTATAAACTTCAGCCCCTTTTGGGCTACATCTCCACCCAACCATGAGATGCCCTGGATCTCGCCCTTTTCCCCCAACTTTTTCCCTCATCTCCACTACCCACAGCCCACAGCCCACGTGGCCCCCTGGAGCATCAAAGGCGGGTACCCAGCAGAGAGCCATGGCAGCAGTAAATGGTTAGGGATGAGACTGGATGGCACTGGGCTGGAGCAGGGGGAAGTCCAGGGTTGTGGAGACACAGAGGAGGGCTGGGAAGGGGGGAAATGCAAGAGGGTGGGGAGGGGTTCTTGAAGATGGCACTGGAAAGTTTTATAGGAGGATTTTTGTGAGTGGGAAGACAATAAACATCCTGAGCCACTTGGGTTCTTCAGGAAGGAAAGTTTTTTTCCCTCTTTTTTTTTAATATATAACCATAATATATATGAATATAAATTTAGGTTAATATAGGTGAGAATGGGGCCTGCACATGTGGCATATTGGGGTCAGGGGATGGCTCATGATCCTTGTCAGTACCCCTTCCTCTGCCTGGTTAAGAGAAATAGGAGTGCTCATAGACAGAGTGAGTGTGCAGCCAGCTGGCTGTGCTGCCTCCATTAGAAGGCACACCAGTTATTAGGAGCCCTCCCCTCCTCCGCCAAGAGAGGTGGTCCCAGAAGAGTCCTGTCCAAACCACGGACTTTTCTGTCTATTGGTAGGCAGTTTTCATCCCTCCTGGTGGTGGCCTTGTGAGTGGCCCTGAAACTCGTCACCCTGTCACCAGCTAGGTGTGCAGAGCTGAAGAGTTAGCTGGCCTCCGATGAGTGGATACTTGATGGTCCCATCCTTTACTTTCCTGACTGTCCCACAGGTCCCCTAGCCTCTCTTTGTGTGTGTCTAGGGCCAGAGCAAGACAACTCAGGAGAGCCTGCCTTTGGATTGAGTTCCCAGATTATTCACATGTCACTAGGGTACAATTTTAATTTAAAAACTTAAAAAAGCTTTTCTAAAAACAAACAAACAAAAAAAAAACCCACCAAAAAACAAAAACAACAAAAAATGTACTTAAAGATTAGTTCTGTTATATTCTAGAAAACAGCCATTAAGATGGGTCAGTGGGTAAAGATATTTAGTATCAAGCCTGATGACCTGAGTTCAGTCCCTAGAATCCAAACAGTGAAGAAGAGAACCAATTCCCAAAACTTCGTCCTCTGATCTAAATAAACTCACTCTATACCACATGCATGCACACACATACACGCATACACACCATACACACACACACACACACACACACACACACACACACACACACACACA